TTTTTTAATATATCACTTATTACTTATAAAAAAAACTCAATTTTCCATATGTATTTTTGTCTTATTTTACATATCTTAACTAATTTTATCAACATCATTTTATAGCTATATATTGAATACATATACAAATAGAACATCAGATACGTTATTTTGATATTCTTTTCAAACCATGTTTCGAATATTAACCTTTTTTTTTACCTTACAATGAATATACACATACCTGTTTGGGTTATTGTCACTGTAGCCAACAAACTTTAGTATATTGGTTTAAATGGTCCCTCGTGACTATTTTTTGCATTTGAATGACACAAACTTGTATTTTTAAGTGTTAAAATGTCCTTTTAGAAAATTTGAAGGGATCACCCGGTGACACCCATCCTAATCAACATGTTTAGATGCCAACTCAATTGTCACATGTAATGAGTCTTCTCCTAAAGCTAGACACCATTTACTCTCCTAAAGCTATACAATATTCAGGTACACCTTCATTTTTTCATCTTCTCAATTGTAATTTTTTTGTTGCTGGAATCATAATTTTGTTCTTTGATATGAAATTTATTAGGGTTTGCATCCGATTGTGAGAGATGTTAGGAAATCGGCGGCAAAAGAGCTTGTCGGTTTACAAGAGAAGCTTGATTCGGTAACATTTGTAAAATTTGAAACCCAAGTGAAACTATAGAAGAATCTCAAGAAGATAATGGTGGAAAAATCAGAAATACTGCTTTTTAGTCACGAGTGGAATCGCAAAATGAAGAAAAGACAGGCGAGCTTAACAACGATCACGAAGTCGAAGCTGCAGATCCTATACACGATATGAATGCTGAGCAACTGGTTGAACAAATCTTCGGCAAGCTTAATAAAGACCATGTTCAAGATCAATTTGGTAGCAACGATGAGGTTGTGAGGTTAGATCCGGATAATCATTAAGTCGAAGGTACAAATTCTGTACACGATATGACGCCGAAGCAACTGGTTGTTTATGAGGCCAATCCGCAGAGTTTTGTGGCAGAGCAAGCCGACGGGAAAGGGTCGGACGGGAAGAACAAGATTTTGGTTGCAATGAGTCGAAGAGGATGAAGGAAGAAGAGAATGTTTTGATATGGTGCCGTTATTTTAAGTGTTTGAGTAGATTTTGGTTGGGGGTCTGATTTATCCACTTAGCCTTTTAATCCATCCACGAGAAGAACCCCATGTCTGGAAAAACTCCAAACGACGCAACTCTGCTTCTTCATCTGAATTCCCAACACATTTTCAAGAGCTTGAATGAATTGCATCTTCGAATCCGAAAGAACCACTGTTGACTTCGTTCTTATTCTGATGATAATATCTATACAGACTTCCATTTCTAAAGGCCATAACATCATCGAGAGAAAATGTGTTGATTTCAATTTAATTTTTAGCTATTTATCGATTTCTCAAACAGGTCAGCTGATTACAAATCTTAATGGTGCCTTGGTTGCAGATTTTAAACGGCAGAAAATAGTTGTCGAAATTGATAGTCGTTTGCAGGTTCCTTCGACAGAGTTTTAGTGACTTGTAGGTTCTCCCGAGAGAGTCGTCGCCGATTGCAGGTGTGTATGTGTGTGAGAGAGTCGGAGATGGTGACAGGGAAAGAGAGAGGAAGATAGTGGACGACGACAGTTTCCGACTTTTGAGTAAGAGAGGCGGAGGTTTAGTGGTGGTGGGAGGAGGTGGACATCAGAAATGGTGAATGGAGATGGAAGAGTCGTTCAAAGAAAAAAGGGTGGAAGTATTTAAGTGATTTATGTCTCTAACTTACTTTAAATGAGATGATAGTATTATTGTCCATATATTATGTTTCAGTAGATGGATAATTTGTGAGGTGAACTTTAGTTTAATTCTTATAACTTGTGAAAAAAACCACGTCATCAAGGATACCGGTAATAAGAAGTCTTGGACCTTTTTTAGTAGGTAAAAATAAACTTTATGCCTAAACTACAAAATAATGATAATAATAATAATAATAATAATAATAATCACGAGGGACCATTTAAACTCATATACTAAAGTTTGTTGGGCTACGGTGACAATAACCCTATCTTTTTAATGCTTACACGATCTTAGTAATATATATTATGAGTATTCACACAAATGATAAATATGCAAGGTAACACAACATGAGTTATATTAGGAGAGAGAAATGTTATTGTACTATTTTTCTTCATCGATTGATCTTTAGGTAATTACATGTTAATATATAACTTTTTTGATAGTTAATATTCAATGTAATGACCATCACGTATAAGAATCTTACAATATCAGTCAGTTTTTTAGTCTATATGATTGTCATTCACATGTAAATAGTGAATATAAATAATAAATATCTATATGTTCAAATAAATAATAAATATCTACATGAATTCAAATAAATTTTCACATTCACATATAAAACCAACTAAATTCACATGTGAATGTAATTCACTTGTTTTTTTTTTTTTACTATTTAAACATTTTGATCATACAAAAACGAATCCATTAAGATTTACAACTTAATCTACTCAAATTCATATGTGACTTATTAAAGATTATTGCAAAAATATAATACAATGATCATGATTAATATATGTTAAAACTAGATATATTCCAGATTAATAATGTAAATATGAACAAGCCAAAACTTTATGAAATAGACAAATAGTTCTATTAACATAGTAAATTTAAACAAGCTGAATCAACTATTTTATAAATTAAATACAGTTTAGATTTTACATACGCATCCAACTTATAAATACCATTGATATTTTGCAACCCGACGTTCACCATCACATCATTGGTTCTTAGTTTTTGTTTTTTTTTCTTTTAGTCGTTCAGAAAAAAAAAAGTAATATTGCACTTAAAAATCTAAAACAATTACAAACCAAAATTCTAGACGATTGTATTGGAATTTTAATTGAAAACGAAATATTATTATGTTTCTGAAAGAGAAAATTACCAAGTATTGGAAAAATGGACCAATTAGACTAAAAGGCCAAGTAAAACCAAAAGTATAAGAACAGCCATATGATTTCAAGGAAAGCCATATAAAGCTATAAACATCATTTGGACATCTCTTTGATTTATTTAATTTTTTTTCTACATTATACTATAAAATTATCTCTTATCTCCCTAAAGAGAAGAGGATACTAAAATTGGTAAAAAGAAAAAAAAAACAATTTTAAAATAAAAATAACAAAAGAAAAACCAAAATTTCACCACCTACTTCTAAACACATCTTACAAACAAACAAAAACCCATACGTTTATTTAACATGGGACCGCAATACCCCTCTCTCTCTCTCTCTCTCTCTCATCACGGTCAAAGTTGTGAAGAAGTGAAGAATGGAATTTGGGGACACCATAATGGTAATTTGACACAACTGCTATGAGTTCATTAATCCGTCCAAAACCATTTCTTGGCATCTGCATTCTTCACTGCAAAAAGCTTTCTCACCCCTGTTTAACAAACACACACACAATAATTCACATACTTCAGTACCCATGATCAAGATTCACCAATAACTCTTTAGAAATATATATTCTTGAAAAAAGAATTACATAAAATGTATTAGAATTTCATTTAAAAAGTCACTACATGATATCGAATAATAAAAATTAGATACTAAGAATAAAATACAAGAGCATAAATCATAATAACAATTTAACTATGCAATTGACCCCATAAAGATTATTATCGCCATTATTATTTGACTTATAGTCTGATTATCGTATCAATCATGTTCACTTTCGAAACCCAAGTCCAAACACCAACTAAATTTGGAATAATCACGACTGATTGCTATGAATCAAAATAAAGATATCTCAAAAAGACTTGATTTTGTTAATTAGAAGTAGAATTCAAAGTTAGCAGTATTAACCTGTACATGAAAATGTCACTGCCTTCTTCAAGATTTTTCTTGCAGGTGTTACAGAAGCTTACAAAACTCTCCAATGGCACTTCTGATCCGACCCGAATACCGCAGCAGCTCTCCACAACACAATTATCATAAATATGGGTCGTTTTCGGGTTAGGCCCATGTGAGATCACTCGAGTATACTCCTCTGAGAGCTCCATCTCACTCAAAGACAAAGGACCTGTAAAGAATCTTGGCGATCCGAATCCAGTTGGAGTTGGACCGGCTGAAAACTGAGAATTTCGGGTCTTGATCCCAAAATCACCGCGTGATTCGGGTGACCCGTTTGGAAATGGTTCTGGGATTTTAATTTTTAACTTTGATCCAAGCAGAACTTTTCGGCTAGTGGTACTAGGTTTACAAATATTGTCATTAGAGTTTTCTTGAATGAGAACAAGAGCAAGTGCAATTCCTTCAGAACCAACTTTCTCAGATGGGTGTTTTTTTTCAACGACCTTTGTGGATTTTTCTGGGTTTTTACTGAATCCAAATGGGTTGCCGGGAAAATTGATTAACTGTTTGTTGGTGTCCAGAATGGAGGTCGGTGAAAGATTTTTAGGCAAGAATCCACCATTGAAGAACCTTGGAGAACCAAGAAAAGATGAAATAGATCGGGTCGGGTTCTGTGGAGTAGGGGGTGAAAGAGACGAAGCTTGGTGATCCGCCATGATCGGTGATTGTTTTGTTACAGCTCTGGATCTGTTCCTCAGCATCACTAACATGGAAACTAAAATCTCCTAACAGAATAAAGAGAAAAACAAAATGAAGAAAGAGATTGACAGATTACAAAGTGTTGGTGGAATCAAAAAAACCCTCAAGAATTTGCTGTCCAAAAGGAGAACGAGAAATCAAGAAAAACAAGAAGTGATTCGAATCAACACCCAGGTGTTGGTGACAAAATTGAGATTAGATTTTCTGAGATTCAATCTCCCCATTTAATCTCTACTCTTCGAAAATGGCGACACAATTAGCATCCGAGAGAGAGAGAGAGAGAGAGAGAGAGAGAGAGGTTTTCCTTTGGTTGTCATGGATTGGGGATTTTCTAGAGAAGATAAGGAGAGAGAAAGAAAAAATAAAAAGAGAAAGAGAGTGTCGTTTTGAAATTGATATTCTATAAAATAATAGTATATATATAAATAAGATAATCAATGATAACAAATCAAAAATAAAGGTAACCGTAATTTGGTCATTCGTAAAAGAGAAAATTTGATTTTAATTTAAAAAAGAAAATTAAAATTAAAAAAAAAAAAACACTTTTTAATCTAAACCCCTCATCCTTCCTCCCCATGGGAAGGTTTGTGCCATTTATTCCATCATTCCTCGTCCTCTCGTGGTTTTTCCTCGACCAATTATTTCTTTTTCAAATATCATTATGGTAAAGCTTTCATCAACACCACTCCCTGCTACTAGATCCCGTATTTGGAGCTAGTTCTTGTTGACAACTACTCCTAATATCATCTTAGCTGCTCGTACTCATTTACCTGATTATGTTCCTGATGACCAATACAGCGGGTTCTTGGTGTCGTTGTTGCCCTAAAATAGGGGCGATGTTTAAGGCGTCATGTTTCCATTTTCACCATCGACCTGGATATCTCATGCAACTCGTGATTCCTGTAACATCCTGATTTTTACCACAAAATTTTTTATTTTTAATTATAGAAAAATCTCAAATATCATAAAAACCAAGTCAATATGTAACATCCTGTTTCCTATCATTTATTATTTCAGGGTCGTGGGTCGGAAGTCGATTGTGTAAAGACTCTGTACCTTAAGGAGGTAAAGTTTAGTCTGTAACGTCCCATTTTCACGACCATAAAATTTCATTTTTATTTTAAGTAAAACTTCACAATTATGGAACCATTTTAAGAAAACCATTTATTTCCAATTACAATAATTAAAATCAGAGTATTATAATGAACGCAAAATCCTCAATGTTGTTGATGAGTGTGTATAGTCCCGCTTCGCCTTCCCATAGTCACCGAAGATACCTGAAACAATAAACAACTAGGTAAACATAAAGCTTAATGAGTTTCCCCCAAAATACCTCATACGATAAACATACAAGCACGCATAACAGCCCACAACCTCCCGGTTGGAATGCCCAAGCCCAATCAGTCCTCGGACTGGAATGCTAACATGCAACGAGTCCAATCAGCCATCGGGCTGAAATACACAGGGTTTGTTGGCCTACCGCCTCAACCCAACCACTCTTCTTGAGCCTCCGTGCCTACGACTTACAGCCGGCCCGCACCGGGTATCTTGGCTTACAACACAAAACAGGACCGCCTCAACCCACTACTACCATATGTCGACATATAAACAAATAAGGATCAAGTATGCACATAATGCAAGCAAACAACAATCATACAGCTCACTACCGCCTACTAGTCCTCACACAGCACAATGTCCCGCTACTAGCTAACCTCCATGAAATGTGTAACCATAAGTAACCAGAGGTGGGATAGCCACCTGCACAGATGATCTTACTCTAAAGCCACAACCAAATAAGGAACATGCAAGAAAGCTTAGATCAAGAGTTCTAATGCTGTCTTCAATAACTACATACGGTCCCTATGGCATCCCTCTACTATACGATAACCAAAACTAATGGGACAGCATTAGTGCCTTCGACCCACTGTACAATGAAGCAAAACTCACCTGAATCAAAGAACTTTGAAACACTGCGATATGATCCCTTTTCAGCACTGCTTGCACCCGCGAATCCACTAACACCAAAACCAGATGGAATCTTAATCAATAGCCCAAAATCCTTAAGTTTGACCCAAAGTCAAACTTGGTCAAGAAGTCAACGGTCAACGGTCAACAGACCCTCACGACGTGACCATCTATGGTTCATGTCATGAGCCACTACAGGACAAAATAATCTGGACTTAAAATCCTCACGTCATGAGATTAGTCTGAATGCCATTTTGATCCAAAAATTTCTCAATCCACTAAACCACTAATCCATCTTTTCCAGGAGGCTTCCTAACACTCCTATGATCATAAAAATTGATGCTTTAAGGTCTTGTATGTCCAATACAAGACTTAAGCTCAAACTAGGTCATTTATGAAGGAAAATGAGATAAATTCTCATGCATGAACTCAAACATCCTCCAAAACTCAGATCCATAACATACAAGCACCAAGGGACCCTAAGGACCCATAAAGTTGCCAACTTTATTGAGTCCCAACACTCTAACTCTTAAAGTCATCAATGAATATGCATAAAACCTTAGATCTAGCAACAAGGAAACATAAAGCTTGGATCTTGGGTTACTTACAATGGTCCCGAGGTGTTGCTAGAGGTTGCAAATGGAACTTTCAAGCTGAATCTATACTCCAATGGTGATATCTTCTTTTTCAAGCCACCAAAGATCCATAAAAGTTGAAGAATCACAAGTAGAGGCTAGGGTTAGGGCTTCTCTGAGCTTAGGGACGAAGGAGGCTGTTTTGGAACCCTAAAATGAAGTTTATGGGGTTTAAATACAAAGGAACCCCTAAAAGATCATGGTTTTGGGCTGCAACAATTCTCACGTCGTGACCCCCTAATGCTCACGTCGTGACCCCCTAATGCTCACGTCGTGAGCTCAGTATAATTCAACATTTAATTTAATCACTACTCACGTCGTAACCACTCTATGGTCACGTTGTGAGCCTTTGTTTTACCCAAAGACCAAACCTTTGACTCCTCGAAGCCCTAAATCGACCCGATCTGGAAACTGGGTTACAAAGTCCTTATGGAAGGAAGTAATGATGGTTAAGAGATTTAACCATTGAACTGCATGTTAGGCTGAAAGGTAGAAAGGGAAAAGTCATAGGCCGGGTTCTTGCATGAAATATGGATTTTTTTTGTTCAATAAGTTTTTAGTCCAAGATATCTAAAATTGTGAGGCTCTTCAATACCTTTTCGTGGATATAAAGATCGTCGAAAACGGAGTTGGAACGTAGAATTTATGACTGTTAGAAGTTAGGAAGGTTTTAGGTTAAGCCGAGTACGTTGGGCGTACTAGGCAATGGCTGATCGTGGAGGATCAACCTGGTACGCTGGGTGTACGCGATCAGAACCCAAACCCAATTTCATGGTTTTTGAGCCTCATTTAAGCTCCTTAACTTCCCCAAACCCTTATTTCTTTCAGCCTCCATCCTCTCTAACCCTAATACCAAAACCCTATCCCTATTTGTGAGATCCTTGAGTTTTTAAGTGCTTTGGGGTGTTCTTGGTGCATCTTGGGGAAGAAGGAACTCATTGGAGAAGTGTTGGTTGTGACATCCCCATTTTCTCGGCCAGAAAAGAACGATTTTGTTTATGCTTCATAAAAATCAGAGTACTTCTTTTAATAAAAATGTTGTGGAATTTGTTCCCAGAAAAACATGATAAATACATTATCAAAGCATTTCCGAATAAATGTATTTTTATTCCTTTTAAAACCTTGGGATGTCATTGTCAATACAGAAACATAAGCATAAACAGAACTTATATTTATTTACACTAGTGATCTACATCTCTTTTAAATCTCTCAGTGTAAAGTGGTTTCGTATCGACACCTGTGATACAAATAAGCTTGAGTGGGTCAGGTTGGGAAACCTGGTGAGTACATAGGGTTTTCAACCCACAATAATATAATCATTATGTTTAATCATCAAACAATCAATCAACCCAATTACCCATTCTCATTATCTTATTTACTCTTAAGGATCTACCCTAAGAATCGACTATTCCTCGTTAATTCATTCCTAAGGATTGTCCTAAGGAGTAGGCACGAAGTCCATCGTTTCCTATGACACAACTGTCAAGCACATCTGCTAGTTGTATCACTTAGGCGCAGCTGCCAGAATTGTGACATTCTCTATGAGGCGCATTTACCGGTATAGTCCTTTAGGCGCATCTGTCGGGGTTATGAGGTTCTCTATTAGGCGCTTCTGCCGGTAGAGTCCTTTAGGCGCATCTGCCAGGGTTTTATTGACAATATCATTTTCGAGAGTCCACTCGCAATACATGTCAATGGGTTTTTTTAGAGTACACCAGTGAACACATCGTTCACAACACCTACAGGTTGCGAGCCTGCTAGTGTTCCACTGGACTGTCTAGAATAGTATGTGGTTGTCATCCATACTCTACTAGATGACGGGGCCAGCATTTGGGTAAATGGCTTCTCACATCGTCCACCTCTCACCCTCACCTCATGGTCTATTTCACCTCTCACCTCATCATCCAACTCATATTTCATCTACCCATGTTTTACCCAACATATTATGTAGATATAAAATATATATACATTTTAAATCATTTAAAACATGTATAAAATTGTTCATCCAGCATAGATAGCAAGTATACAGATAATATTCACACATAACACATAATTTATATTAAATACTTCATATCTATGTGTAAGATGAAAGTAACTATGCACTCACAACACATAATTTATATTAAATACTTCATATCTATGTGTAAGATGAAAGTAACTATGCACTCACCTGGTAAGGTGGTGACTCGATACTCGGACAGCACTTCGTTATCTCAAAACAATTTTCCCTTGACAAAACCTAGTATCAATACCACTAGGGTTTAGTCTAACATTAACTGCGACTAATTAATAGTCTAGCTATTATTACTATTATATAAGCGTTAAGTAACACTCTTATATAACTCATAATAATAGCCCATATATTTATTATAAGGTCCTAATAACATTACTATATTTAAACATAAGCTATACTTAAGGTAGGGTAAGCATATCTCACTTAGCAGGGGTTTGGCTAGGAGTCGGGCTTTGCAGGGGCAGAACTTCCGAGCCGAAAGCTCTTCTTCTCGGAGCCTTCCGGCGCTCCGGGACTCGCCTCTAACACCTAGGAGGTGCTAGGGAAGGGGGAAGAGGGTTTGGGGGTAATGGGAGAGAAAGAGTATGAAAGGTGTGAGTTTTGGGGGTGATTTACGCCTCTATTTATAGGTTGTCTGGGCCGATTCACGTCGTGAGAAAGGGTGCTCGTCGTGAGCCTTGCGTAGGCTCCAAGGTGAAGTCTGGTGCTGACACGTGGCGCCGGATGCAGGTAAAACAACCAATCTTTAAAAATTCATAACTTTCG